AAACCTTGGGTGTGGGGGACGCATGGTGGCGGTGGCATTGGCGCCTTCGGTGGAGCCCCTTTTACGGGGCCACGAAACGTGTGAGGGGTGTGCCGAAATGGGCGCGGGGGACGCATGCGGGCGGTGGCACTGGGGCCTTCGGTGGAATTCCATATGGGACCACGAAACGTGTGAGGGATGTGCCGAAATTGGTGTGTAGGGGACGCATGCGGGCGGCGGCACTGGGGCCTTCGGTGGAGCTCCCGATGGGGCCACGAAACGTTTGAGGGGTGTGCCGACATGGGTGTGGGGGACGCATGCGGGCGGTGGCCTTGGGGCCTTCGGTGGAGCTCCCCATGGGGCCACGAAACGTTTGAGGGGTGTGCCGAACTGGGCGTGGGGGACGCATGCGGGGGATGGCACTGGGGCCTTCGGTGGAACTCTTTATGGGGCCACGAAACGTGTGAGGGGTGTGCCGAAATGAATGTGGGGGACGCATGCGGGCGGTGGCACTGGGGCCTTTTGTAAAGCTCCTTGTGAGGCCACGAAACGTATGAGGGGTGTGCCGAAATGGGCGCGGGGGACGCATGCGGGCGGTGGCACTGGGGCCTTCGGTGGAACTCCATATGGGACCACGAAACGTGTCAGGGGTGTGCCGACTTGTGTGTGGGGGATGCATGCGGGCGGTGGCACTGGGGCCTCCGGTGCGACTCCCTATGGGGCCACGAAACGTGTGAGGGGTGTGCCGAACTGGGTGTGGGGGACGCATGCGGGCGGTGGCACTGGGGCTTTCGATGGAACTCCTTATGGGGCCACGAAACGTGTGAGGGGTGTGCCGAAGTGGGTGTCTGGGGGACGCATGCGGGCGGTGGCACTGGGGCCTTCGGCGGAGCTCCATATGGGACCACGAAACGTGTCAGGGGTGTGCCGACTTGTGTGTGGGGGACGCATGCGGGTGGCGGCACTGGGGCCTCCAGTGGAGCTCCATATGGGGCCACGAAACGTGTGAGGGGTGTGCCGAATTTGGTACGGGTGACGCATGCGGGCGGTGGCACTGGGGCCTCCGGTGGGACCCCCTATGAGGCCACGAAACGTTTGAGGGGTGTGCCGAATTGGGTGTGTGGGGGACGCATGCGGGCGGTGGCCTTGGGGCCTTCGGTGGAACTCCCAATGGGGCCACGAAACGTATGAGGGGTGTGCCGAAATAGGTGTGGGGGACGCATGCGGGCGGTGGCACTGGGGCCTTGGGTGGAGCTCCCTATGGGGCCACGAAATTTGTGAGGGGTGTGCAGAAATTGATGTGGGGGACGCATGCGGGCGGTGGCACTGGGGCCTTCGGTGGAGCTCCCTATGGGGCCACGAAACGTGTGAGGGGTGTGCCGGAATGGGTGCTAATGCTGGTGATGATGACGGTCGTGATGATGATGATGATGATGATGATGATGATGATGATGATGATGATGGTGATGATGATGATGATGATGATGATGACGATGATGATGACGAAGATGATGATGATGATGATGATGATGATGATGATGATGATGATGATGATGATGATGATGATGATGATGATGATGATGATGATGATGATGATGATGATGATGATGATGATGATGATGATGATGATGATGATGATGATGATGATGATGATGATGATGATGATGATGATGATGATGGTGATGATGATGGTGATGGTGATGGTGATGGTGATGATGGTGATGGTGATGGTGATGGTGATGGTGATGGTGATGGTGATGGTGATGAATGGTGATGGTGATGGTGATGGTGAGGATGAGGATGAGGATGAGGATGAGGATGAGGATGAGGATGAGGATGATGGATGAGGATGAGGATGAGGATGAGGATGAGGATGATGATGATGATGATGATGATGATGATGATGATGATGATGATGATGATGATGATGATGATGATGATGATGACGCTGATGGTGATGATCATGATGACTATGATGATGATGACGGGAGGAGAGAGGAAGGGGGAGGAGGAGGAGGAGGAGGAGGAGGAGGAGGAGGAGGAGGAGGAGAGGAGGAGAGGAATGTGGGGCGACGCCTCTTCAAAACGAAACCCAACACCGCAGGATGGTTGGGAAAAAACATACATATTCTCTGCCCCTATGAAAGTACAAGGAAAACCCGACGCGTCGCCAGCACCCCCCAAGGGAGTAGCCCCGAAGCTTCCAGGAAAGCCCCCAAAGGCCCCCAGGAAAGCCCCCAAAAGGCCCCCAAGAGAGACCCGAGACGCCCAAAGATTGCTCCAACACGCCCAAGGTCGCTCCCAAGACGCCTCAAGAGGCCTCAAGGCGTCCCGAGAGGCCTCCCAGACGCCCCTGAAAACTGCCAAGGCGGCTTAAAAAAGCCCCCAAGACGGCCCAAGAGGCCCCCAGGAGAGCTCCAAGACGGCACATAAAAAGGCCCAAGACGGCCCAAGAGGCCCCCAAGACGGCCCAAGAGAGGCCCAGGACAGGCCCAAGAGGAGTCCCAGACATGGAAAACCACAGTCAAATTTCGAGCCTTCGGCCCCAAGAGGCCCCCAGGAGGCCCCAAGAGACCCCCCAAAGGCCCCAAGAGGCCCCCAAGAAGCCCCGAGGCCCCCAAGAAGCACCAAAATTGTCTGAACGCAATGATGTTCCCAACCCTCCTGTGAGTTGGGTCCTCTTTCAGAATCCGCAGCGCCGCGCATCTCACTCATTCCTCCTCCTCCTCCTCCTCCTCCTCCTCCTCCTCCTCCTCCTCCTCCTCCTCCTCCTCCTCCTCCTCCTCCTCCGCTTCCTTCTGCTCCACCTCCCATCGCTGCCACTCATGCTACTTTTGCTGCCCTTCCTCCTCCTCCTCCTCCTCCTCCTCCTCCTCCTCCTCCTCCTCCTCCTCCTCCTCCTCCTCCTCCTCCTCCTCCTACTCCTCATACTATCCTTTCCTCCTCCTCGGTCGCTATTGGGTTGCGGCGCCGATGGGTCGCGGCGCGGTTAAGTCGCGGGCTAGTGGTTCCCAGGACCGATGGGTCGCAGGGGGTCGCGGCTGGGTCCCGAGCGTCACGCCCAGCACTGGCCCGCCCGCCCCCTCACTCTTCTCCGAAAGTGCGGGGTAATACATGCCTACCCACTGACCCATCCAGACAAGACGCATCGGCGAGGTGCCCGGGCGACTGTCCGAACGGGCGAGTGCATGCAGAAAAGACGGATCTGGCTGCTCTGTGCGCAGCCAAATCCGTTTGTACAGTTCGCCCGCTCGTGTACAGTTCGCCCGCTCATGTATAGCTCGCCCGTCGGCGCAGCCCATCCAGAAAAGGCGCATCTGGCTTCTCCGTACGCACAATTCGCACAAACCTCATTGGAGAATGGTGCCCTCGCCTGAAAGCCAGCCACCTCCCTGACCGGAGTCGCTGCTACCGCCCCAGCGCCGCCCGTCTCCCGCAGTAGGAGTGGCACTCTCGCTTGAGCGTCGGCCACATCCACCTACTGCGATCGTCACCTCCCGCGCGAGACAATTGACGACCACAAATGCCTCCCGCTCATGCTTGGCGATTGCCGTGCTTGGCGTCAGGTTTGTCCCACGCGCGCCAGGTCCGTCGCCAGTGGGGGCTGCGTCACATTAGCTTCCCCAGTGTCAGGTTAAGGGGTGTGCAGTAGCAACAGTGCGGCTACATCAGCATGTTTACCGCAGCGGCCATAAACCTCGCAGGTAAAAGGATTAATATTAGAAGTCGAAGCGCAGCGAGCCTTAAAATCTTGTATCTAGATATCTAGATACATATATGTATATATAGATATGGATATACAAGACTGCATTGGCGCTTCGCGCCATGCACCTTGGTCCTTGAACTCTGGTGCGCAGGCGGAATAGCCGGAAGGTCAAGCCGACAATTTAGCGATAATTCTTTGTTGCCTTTTCCAGCATCGCCGCTAAAATAATGTTATTCGTTATCCTTCCTCCATGTTTATTTTTTCATTTTCGCCATACGCTGCGCATTCTCCCCATCCTCCGCAGCTCTTTTTTGCGGAGGCTCCTCCTTGGAGAGCCTCTGGGGGCTTCACAAAAGTTGTTTCAGGCTTTCCTAAGGCCTTCTGGAGGCCTCCTGGGCGTATTCTGGGGGCCTCTGGGGGCTTCCTCGGGCCACCCTGCCTCCAACCGCGGTCTCCCTGAACGACCAGGTCACGATTTGGAATGCTTCGAAGGGCGTCTTGGGGCCATCTTGGGCCGCCATGGGGCTCTCTGAGGGCCATCTTGAACCCGTGTTGTGCCGTTTTGGGGCTCTCTTGGACTGCCCGGAAGCCCTTTCGGATGGTTGTGGGGCGATTTGAGAGCCTCCCAGGCGGCTTCGGACGCCCAGAAGACCGCCGTCTTGGAGCATCGGGAAGCCGAAAAGAGGAGAACCCCCAAATTCACCAAAAACCAACAGAAAATCAATGATTTTTGCCTCTTGGGGCCTTCTTAGGAGTGCTCTTGGAGGCCTCTTTGGGACCGTCCTGGAGGCCTCTTGGGCCATCTGGAGGTCACGTCGGTCACTCTTGGAGCGCTCTTGTGCTGTCCTGGGGGTCTCTGGGACGTCTTAGGTGTGCTGGGAAGGCTTGGCAAAACGCCCTGCGAGGCCCGGGGGGCCGTTTCGAGGCCCGTCCAGAGGGTCCCAAAGCCCCAAATCCCGGGAGTCCGGTTTCGGGGGGGAGCTTGATTGTGATGGAGCTCTCCTGAGGGGTTCAGCTCAGCATGTCGCCTTCCCCGCAGCCTTGGAGGCTCGGTTGCGGGAGGGCGGGATTTTACAAGACAGGGCGAGTTTCGCCCCAGCCGCGGCACCCGGCCGCAGCACATGCTTCGGAGCATCAGGTGCTCCGTGTTCTGAACAACAGGTTTACGACGACGTGACGGGCTCCGAGGAGCCCACGTATTCAGATTGGTAGCGGAGCCGTACGACTACGACAATGGCGAGTGGGACGTCTACTGGCGGTGCTGCGGCCAACGCCGCTGGCGGGTTTCGCCTCGACGTTCCCACCTGGGATGGAGAGCCCGACAAGTTGCTGGCGCATCGTTTCGACGTCGGGCTCTTCACTAAGAGCTGCAAGCTCCAGGACAGGTACGTGGTCGGGCCCCAGCTGATTCGCGCGCTGGGAGCTCGGGCGCGCCGGCTCGCGCAGGCGTGCCCCGACATCGAGAGGACCGACGAGGTTTCCGAGGGCGGCAAGCTCGACGGCTGGCAGCGCGTCTTTGAGTTTCTCCTCTCGAAGCGCGACCTGTCCAACGTGAACGAGATGGGGAACTCAGCGGAGAAGTTCTTCAACCAGCTGCAGCGGGAGGCCGGGGAGGGCTTCCCGGACTGGACGGCGTGCTGGGAGGCGCACGGGCGGGATCTGCTGGCGCAGCTGAAAGCGGTGGACAGCGCTGTGACCGAGGTCATCGCGGGACCGCTGCGGACGTGGCGGCACTTGCGGCGATCGCGGCTGTCACCAGTTGCACTCGGCGAGATCACCGCCACGGCGGGCGGCGACTACGACTTCGACAGGACGCACAAAGCGCTGTGCACGAGGCACCCGCTGAGGCACTGAAGGAGCTCGACGGGGTCCGCAGGAAGAAGGACAGGCGCGCGGGCTTCTACGGCGAGGCCGGCGACAACGACGGCGACCACAACGACGGTGACCAGTCCGAGCTCGCGGACATCGCAGATCGGCTGGTGAACCTGGCCGACGAGGACGACGCGATGGTGCTAGACGACCTGGAAGAGACCCAAGAGGACGAGAACGGCATCTATGCGGAGTTCAAGCAGATGGGAAGGAACTTCAAGGACGCGAGGGACGTCATCAGGCGCCTGAAGGTGGCGCTGGACTACTACCCTGTTCTGGCCCCTCGGTCCCCCGACGGACCTCCCCGTCCTCGAGCGGCCCGGGGCCAGCAGCGCAAGCCACGTGCTGACGGTGAGAAGGAGTCTGCGCGTGACACGCGCAGGACGAGGTGCCTGGCCTGCCGCATGTTCGGCCAGCAGGCCGAGGACTGCCCGGAGATGAATAAGTCGCGCGGCCGACCCCAGCCCAACGAGACCACCTCCTTCGCGCTCCTCGAGCTCGGGGAGCTGGTCCTCCTCTTGGACGACGAGACTGGCATCTGGGCGATCCTGGACTGCGGCGCTACTCGGAGCCTGATCGGGGCCACGATGGCGGAAAACCTGGCCTACGACATGAAGGGGAAGTACGACATCAGCTTCGACTTGGCGGAGCTGACGCGGTATTTCGCCGTCGGCGACGGCAAGCGCAAGAGCTCGACGGGGGCCGTTGCGGGCGACATCTTTCTGGCGATGGGCTGGAGAAGATCGAGATCTCCATCATGGACAACGCGGTGCCGCTGCTGATCGGGGCGGACATTCTCGGTCCGAACTACGCCAGGGCCCTGATCGATTTCGGAAATGGCTCCTTGATGTTACCGAAGATCTCAAGTAACATCTCCCAGTGCAGGAAGATGCCTAGCGGGCACCTGGCGAGCAACGCGGCGACTCCGACGCGGCGGCAGCGCGCCCCTCGTCGGGCCCCGACCAGCGCCGAGCTGCACAGCGAGAAGGCCCCGGTGAATGTCAGCGACCTGCCCGCGGCCAAGGTCGAGACCGAGCTGACGGGCTCGGCGGAGCTTCTGTCGGACGCGGCCGTCGCGCCCTCTAGCTAGGGACAGCGGCCCCAGGTGGACGCACGCGATTAAAACACCTTCGCCTAGTCCATTGGAGGGGCCCGAGAAAATGCCCGGTGATGACAGTGCGCGAGACGTCCACCTAGCCCCTGAGATGGCCCCCAGAGAAACCAGGATTCCTGTTCGCCGGGACGAAGCTCAGAAGCCCCCTGATTATCCGAGAAGATCCCCACCTCTAACTTCTCGTCTTTCGGATCCCTCTACTGCATCTACGACATTCCCGAGGATGACTTCTGCAACACCGAAACCGAAGACACTGTCGCGGACATCTGGGGAGACGTAATCGGGTACCCTGAGAGCCTCCACGACACCTACGAGGACCCGTCTGGCGACACCTCCACGAGGCCTCCAGCGCTCTGCTCCTGACGTGACGGAACATCCCCCTGAGGCTCTTCCGGGCCCTGGCGCCTGCGATGTGTACCGAGCGCTCTCGGCTCACGAGGCAGGTCATTCAGACAATCTCCATGACCTTCCATGTCCAGTGGATGACATGCCGCCATGGCACGGGCCCGTCACCTTCGGGTAGGCCACCGCCGCCCTCGTTCTCCGCGCCCCGCCCTGCCTCTCGCAAGACAACTCCGACCTCTCAGAAGCTGCCGACATCGTCGACGGTCAGTTCAACTACCACAGCCCAGGCGCAGGCCGACGCCCGTGCTCTTCTAAGCGACTTCGCTTCTGTGTCCCGAAGGACGTGACCGCCAACGCCTCGGGCGCGAATCCGACGGCTACCTTGGCACAGGCGGCAGGGTCTCACGAAACGGGGTTTCAGCGACGCGGCTGCTGCTGTCAGCCAGGGCGCAAGCGGAACCGATGTTCATGCACGGGCGGAAAGTCACACAAGTGCCCCCTGCTGGCGGCGGGGAAGCCGCCCACCAACATCCTCGACGGGCACCAGCCGCCAACTCGGAAGAAGCAGCAGCCACAGGAAGCAGCTCAGTCAGCCTAGATGCCTCTCAACGGCGTGACCTGGGAGGAGGCGACCACTCTGCGCTGGAGGCGGCTGCTAAAAAGGATCCTGAAGAGGCTGGCGAGCGAGCCCTCCTCGGAGTCCTTCGAGATGTTGGACTACTCAGCCGACAAGGAGACAGCGACCAAGAGGGGGCGCGAGCAACTCTGAATCGCGAGGACCTAGACGTCTTGCAGCACGCTATCGACCAGTACGCCCTCGGCTACAAGAAGGAAATCGGGGACGACATCAACTTTCTCGTCCGCCAGGGCCGATACGGCTTCCTGGAGGTCTGCACGCCGCCGACCTCGACTTTGGCACAGGCAGTGATCGACCATGACGGTTAGCATTTCGCGCTGCAGTACACAACTGTTTCGACATGGCGACCAAGACGGGGGTTCGTCGCCTGGCCCTGTGGATGCACCAACATCGGCCCCGACGCACTGCGATGAGCCCCCCTTGCACGGCGGACTGCCAACTGCAGAACTGGAACCAGAAGACCGCCGAGGACCGAGAGAAACTGCGGAAGAAGGTGCAGAAGGCCAGGCGGATACAAGCAGGATGCGAGACCCTCCTCTCCCACGGGCTGCAGTACCCTGGGACGGAGGTCGACCTCGGACAGCCTCAAGGCTCACAGAGTTGGTCACGATCGGCTTCTCTGCAGCGCATCGAGGAGCAGACCTACGAGACGCTGGTGTCGGGGTGCGCCTACGGACTACGTTGTCCTCGCAGCGGCCTGCTGCAGCCCAAAGTCTGGAGGATCTGCCCCACGGATCCTGAGCTACAGAAGGCGATCGGCAAGAGGTGCAGCAACCGCCCAGGACGATACGACAAGCACGAGCACGGCGAGATCATCGGCGGCAAGGCCGCGGCTTCAACGGCGTTCTACCCGATTGCCCTGTGCGAGGCCTGGGCGAAGCACATCCTTCGCGCAGGAGGGGGAGCTGCAGCTGGCTCTCAGGCACTCGTCGCCTGCGACAACGTGGGGGGGCGAGCCGATCTACGCGGACATCGCGGGTGACGACGACGTCGAGCCTGATGACCAGGCCGAGTCCGACGACGAGCTCGACGGGGGCGACGGCCAGGAGCTGGCCAAGGACGGAGGCCACCTGAGCACCGAGGAGGAGCAGGAGATCGAGCACCGCCTCGGCCGGCTCCATCGCAATCTCGGCCATCCCAGCTCCCGGACGATGGCGAAGATCCTGAAGAACTCCGGTGCCAGCCTCCAGGTCCTGAAGACGGCGAAGAACTTCAATTGCCACGCCTGCATTTCCTCCATGCTGCCGAAGGCCGTCCGAACCGCTGCTGGCATCGAGATCCCCGAGGTATTCGAAGTAATGGGCAGTGACGGCTCGGAGTGGACTGACCCCAAGGACGACACGATCTACCTGGTGACTCTCAACCTGGACGAGGGGTCAGGACTCACGCTGGTTACCAACAACCACGGCGACAAGCCCCAGCGGTCCGGCAACAGGTCCGCCGCCGACGTCGTCGAGACTTGGCGTTCCTGGGCCGACCACTACCGAGCCCCACGGCTCGTCCGATGTGACGCTGAAGGATTTCACCGTGCCGAGTTGACGAATAGCTGGCGCAGCTCCCGCGGCATCCAGATGTTCATCGCTCCTGGCGAGGCCCACTGGCTCATGGGCAAGGTCGAGCGGCGCATCCAGCTCTTCAAGAGGACGCTCACCAAGGTCCGGAACCAGAATTACGATTGCGACATCGACGACGCCATCAGCCAGGTCGTCCACGCCATCAACGACCTCGACAAGGTGGGAAGTCATTCCCCCTACGCTCACGCCTTCGGCATCGGCGGCGCCCAGGGTTCAAACAACCCCTTCGCCATCATCGACGAGGGGAACTGCGAGAGCCGTGAGCAACGGCGCCTCACTGCCAGACAATTCTTCATCGGGGTGGAGCAGTCGGAACGCCGTCGACATGCCGAACATGCTCGCAGCCACGTCACCACTCGCTGGCATACCGGCGAGCACGGCTACTACTGCCGCAAGGGCCGCGGACCAGTCAAGGCCACGTGGTACGGGCCTGCTCGAGTCCTTGTACAAGAGCGACGCATTCTGGCGGGCTCCTCGAGGCCTACTTCGGTGATTTGGATTTCCCACTGCGACGTTATCCTACGCTGCGCGCCCGAGCAGTTGCGGCCCGCCACGGAGGCCGAGCGCACGGTCGTCGAGCTGACCAACATGGAGAAAATGGGCGCCACCATATCGGACTTGATGGAGGTGGCTCGGCGTGGGACCTTCGAGGACCTCACCAACGAGAGCCGTCCAGCCATCCAGCACTTTGAGCCTCAGACGATCATACCTCCCGAGACGCAGGCGGACACGACCACAGACGAGCCGAGGGAGGATGAGTCACCTGGAACAGAAGCTGACGCGCATGGATCTCCTGAGCCAGCAGGAGAGCCTTCCGCCCCTCCTACGATTAATCAGCCCGCGCCCAAGCTCCCTCGACTAGCTGCGCCGGAGGCATCCACACCACCTCCTGACGATGTCCCCCCTGGTCGTCGATGGCGCATGTACTCCAAGGAGAGCGAGGACGTCTACCGTCAGCCACCCGCGGAACGACGAACTAACCGACAAGGACCCTACTCTGACACGAAGGGCTGGGACAGTGGGGACCAGGCGAACAGGGAGGACGATCTCTTCGTAGATGTGAACACGCTCAGGGAGTCTGGGCCCACCGACTTCGAGTGCCTTGACGAGAACATGACGGTCTATTTCGAGATACTGAAGGCTGAGTTCATAAGCAGCATGGGGGGTCGCCCGCTCACGCCCCAGGTGCTCGACTGCTTCGTCGCCAACCGGAAGCGCAAGGATAAGATCGAGTTTCACGAGGGTAAGTTATCACCCTCGGAGAAGGTCGAGTTCCGGACTGCCATGACGAGGGAGGTGACCAACTGGAAGGAGCACAAGGGACTACGACCAGTGCCCACCTCGGAAGTAAAGGACCCTGCGGATATGATCAGGTGCCGCTGGGTGCTGACGCGGAAGGCCGACGGAACCGCGAAGGCCCGTCTAGTCCTCCTCGGCTACCAGACCAAGATCATCGGGAAGGAGCCGACCGCGTCACCGACAGCGTCCAGACGTGCCAGGAACATCCTGCTCACCATCGCGGCCGCGAACCACTGGAACCTCGTCAAGGGCGACGTGACCAGCGCCTTCCTCCAGGCTTCCGATCTCACGAGGGACCTCTTCGCGGAGGCCGACGAGGCCCTCTCGCCCGCCTTCGGCGTTCGACCTGGCGAAGTTCTTCGAGTGATGAAGCTAGGCGACGGTATCGGAGAGGCTCCCAGGAAGTGGTGGCCCACGGTCAAGTCGGACTTCCTCCAGCTGCGACTACAGGCCTGCGACCTCGAACCGCGCCTCTGGTGCCTGCGATGCCCTTCTACGAAGGAGCTCAGCGTGTTGGTCATGTGCCACGTGGACGACTTCATTCTCTGTGGGGATCGAGGACATCCATCGTGGAAGTCAGCCATGAAGGGCATCAAGGAGCTCTACACGCGGGGCACCTGGGAGGACATGGAGGACGGAACCCTCGACATCGAGCAGCGCGGGGTCATGATCGAGTCCAACGAGAAGGGGTTCGTTCAGCATCAGCGGGCTTACATCGACAAGCTCAAGGAGATAACACCCAAGTACCCCAAGGCACGCTCCAATGACAAGCTGACCGAGGCCGACCAGAGTACCCTTCGGACGTGGCGTGGTGCTCTGTGATGGCTTGGCGTGAATACTCCACCTTGGGTGTCAGCCTGGGTCGCGGACGCGCAGAGCAAGATTCCCGACGGCGACTACAAGCTCTTCAACGTCGCGACAACATCACCAAGATGGTCAAGGCCAACCGGAACGACGGCATCCAGATGTTCCGTCATGCCCTGCCTGGCTGCCAGCACGGGCCTTCTGATTTCCGTGTGTACACCTGGTGCGACGCTGCCTGGGCTAGCCGACCTGACGGGCAATCTCACGGCGGACACGTGAGAGCTCTGAGTTCTGCGGATACGCCGTTCCACGACGTGACCGACATTACAGTTCTGGACCGGGGGTCACGCAAGCTGACGAGGGTTGCCCGTTCTAGCCTGGCTGCCGAGATCCAGGAGGCCAGCGACGCCGAGGGCGAGCAGATGATGGCGAGGCTGGTCCTCTACGAGGTGCTCCTCAGGCCCTTCGACCTCTACAACCGCCCGCGGGCCCTGCAGGAAGTGCCCGCTACTTTCGCGACGGACTGCAAGGCCTTCTACGGCGGCGTCGCGAAGTCAGAGTCGTCCGGACTCAGACTGGACGAGAGGAGAACGGCTATCGAGGCCTTTGCTCTTCGACGTGCGCTCGAGGAAGGTGGCACTTCCGTTCGTCGGGTGCACAGCCATGCCCAGTTGGCCGACAGCACGACCAAGGCGAGCCTGCAGGCGTTCAACGTGCCCCACGCTTTCTTGAAGCACCAGCGCTGGAAGATTGTTCATGATGAGCGATTCCTTTCCGCTCGGAAGAGGTCAGCCCTCGGGAAGGGCATCTTCGACGAGACGAACGAGCTGGACCACCCATAGGCCAAGGAGATCCTGGAGAGCAGGAAGCGGGACCGCTCCGCGACCAAGCAAACGGCGATTGAAGGTGCCGAGACAGACATGCTGGAGTTGAACTCTTTTCTCCTTGTTTGATTGCGATGGAGCTCTCCTGAGGGGTTCAGCTCAGCACGTCGCCTTCCCCGCAGCCTCGGAGGCTCGGTTGCGGGAGGGCGGGATTTCACAAGACAGGACGAGTTTCGCCCCAGCCGCGGCACCCAGCCGCAGCACATGCTTCGGAGCATCAGGTGCTCCGTGTCCTGAACAAAAGGTTCTACGACGACGTGACGGGCTCCGTGGAGGCCCATTTCGCGTTCCGCCCGGATTGTCAAAAAAATATGAAAAAGGGAATGTGCATGTAATACACTTACGCGGCTGCATTGGCGACTCGCGTCATGCACCTTGGTCTTTCGATTTAGGCCTGCAGGCGGAATGAGAGAGAGGTAAGTGGATAAAACAGCGATAGCACCGCGTTGCCGTTTTCGTCCTCGACGCTATATCATTCGCCTTCCCTCATAGTTCCTCTTCCTCGCTCTCTCGTCCTCAGTTGTTTTTGCGGAGGCTCCTCTTTGGAAAACTTCTTGGGGGCCTCACGAAACCTTCTTACGGCGTTTCTTGGGGGAGCTCTGGAGTTTTCTTGGGCGTTTTTGGGGGGGTTCTGGGGGTCTTCCTCGGGCCACCCAAATACCGTGGTCGCCCTAAACGGCCAAGCCAAGATTTGGAATGCTTCGGGGGCTGTCTTGGGGCTGTATTGGATTGTCTGCAGCACCCATTTGGGTCGTTGTAGAACGCTTCCCATAGTTTCGTGGGCGGCTTCGGGCGGCCAGAAGACTGAAGAGCCGAGATCTATGCTTTCTTCGATTGGAGGGCCTCTTGGGAATGTTCGTTGGCCGTCTTCGGGCGTCTGG